CCGCAGCGGGGAGAAACACCAGCTTAGACTTGTTCCAACACGTTGGGCAGGAAAAGGACTGCTGGGGTAAAGTGTCTGTTTCTGTTCATTCTCACTGGGGCATCATTTGAGTGTTTGTTAAACATGAAGCTGGAGGGGAAGGCTGGGGAGACATTGGGGAATAATGGGAATCCCCAGTTCGTTTGGAAACTGCAGATAAATCCTCGTGGTAGGAACGAGACTACAGCTGTAGAAGCAGAGGGAGCCCCAATGTCTCTCCTGGGACTCTCCGGTTCATTCATGCACTGGACATTTGATTTAAAAGAATGAAAGAACATTGGTGAAAAGGTCAGAAGGGCTCGGCCTCTGACCTTCCTATAGGGAGCCTCCAAACTTACGCCATTCCTTTTCTTCTTTCTTCCAGGTGCAACATTATTCCTCTGCAAAGATGATTGTCCCTGAGGAACAGTAACAGGAAAGCATCTTCCCTTGCCCTGGACTTGGGTCTAGGGATTTCCTCCTTGTCTTCTCTCCCTGAAGCATAAGGATCTGGAAGAGGCTTGTAGCCTGAACTTCTGGGTGGTGGCAGTGCTGTGGCCCACTAGTGTAATCTCCCTGGATTAAGACATTCTTAAAAACTTATGCTTGGCCTCTTTCGCAAATTAGGCCACGGCCCTGAATAGGAATTCCCTAAACAGGAACTGTGGGCAAGTGGGCGGAAGTTATTCCGGCAGGTACTGGTGTGATGATGATGATTATTTTTAATAAAGAGTTTTACAGTGCTGATATGACCCTGTTGTCACCCCAACTGAATTTCTTATGACCCTCTCAAACCAAAGCTCAGAAGGGGTCAGAAGAGCTTCATATAGAAAGTTGGGCAAAACAAGCTAGCAATTGTGAAGTCCGGCTTTGACCAACATATTTCTTTGCACTGAGGCCTTGCTGCTGTGGATACGGAAATTGCTAAGTAGTTCCATGCTTCCTCAGCAGCTGGGCCGCTAGGGCCATAGTAGTTCCCTTTGGAGAACAGGGAAAGCCTGGAGGTTCCCCAGGTGGCCCAGTGTGGTGTCGTGTCAGCTTCCTCTTTAGGAGGAAGCAAGCTCTCCAGAGGGCAGGAAGCTCCTTTCAATTCGGTAATAAGAACCCCTCCATTTTGTTTTTTGGAGAAAAGGTCCTGCTTTGTCACCCAGACTGGAGTGCAGTGTTGTGATAAAGGTTCACGGAAGCCTTGACCCTCTGGGCACTACCTCGGCCACCCAAGTATCTGGGACCACAGGCGTGCACCACCATGCATAGCTAATTTATTTTTTGTAGAGAGAGGGTCTCCCTGTGTTGACTAGGTTGGTCTCGAATTCCTGGGCTCAAGCAGTCCTCCTGCCTTGGCCTCCTAAAGTGCTGGGATCACAGGCATGAGCCACTGCGCCCAGCCCACTGCTAGTTCGACTTTTTATAATTGAGCCTCCTGGCTATGCCTTGAGATCAGCGCTATTTTGTAAACCGCTGAGGTGTGGATAGGAATGAGTAGATCAGACCTCTTGAAAATGCTTATTCTTCCTCCCTTTTATTTTTTGTCTCTTTTAAGATGGTAAAATGGGTCTCAGCGATTCCTGCCGATGCTTTGAATTATTTTCTCCTCTCCATGGTATCAGTGTTCATTTCCCCAGTTCTGGCACACCACTTTCTGTTTTGGCAGTTCTGCCAAGCAAGCCCTGTATTCCTTGGGACTGGTTTTGCTGTGGTTGGATACAGATACCAGCTCGCCTTGATGGGATCAGTATTGCTGTGTGCTTCCAGCCACAGATTCTCATACTCAATTCCAAAGCCCTCCTATTGGGCGAATTCCCTCAAACTCTATTTGACCCAACAGCCACGCGTATTCCCCTCTGGTAGCCACAGACATGCTGTGTTTACCAGTGTTTGCTGTTTAAATTGCATGTTCTAATTCCAAGTATTTTCCAGTCTCTATTTTATAAAGTTTCAGACTATAATAAAAACAGCTTGCCTCAGTTTATCCTTTTTTATTTTGAGATGTATGCCTAGTAATCAAATTACCATCACTGGGGCGTGGCATTGTGGGCGGGGAGAATTATTCACATTCTCCTCAAATGACAGCAGCAGACAGCCTTCTGCCTCAGTGGCTCTGGCTGGTTTCCCGCAGGGCTCCCAGTGGAAACCCATGTGGCCACCTGTTGCCGTCTTCCATGAGATGTTAGTGGAGAGCCACTTTGACGTGGAATGATCCTAATAGGTTTAGCCAGACTGGTTTTGCAGAAGCGCCTTGTGCTGAGAACTGCAAGCTGGTGCACCCTGTGTCGTATCTGCCCTCAGCCAGCTGGAATTGTCTGCTACACGCGGTGCCCGGTGAGGAGGCGGGCAGGACAGTTGTGTGCTGCATCCATGAGACCTGGAAATTCAGTTTGCTTTTGGAAAAGAGAATTGTATCCGAGTTCATACTTCTCCACCCCATCTTGCCAAGGTTGTGGAAAGTAAAAATAGGCAGTATTGGCTGCTGCAGCTTCTCAGGGGACGGGACCGTGTGAAAAGGTGGGGATCGCGTGAGCGCAGGAAGGAGAGAAAAGCGAGGAAAGCCTATGCCGTCAGCGACCGACAGGGGGCGCGTCGGCCACGCTCGTCACCGCTTCCTGGGCACGTGACCACCGCCCCGCCTGTCCTTTAGGGCCTGTCGCTTCCGGCGGCGGCGGTTGCCATGGGGACGGGGCTTGGGTGGTAACCAGAACTAGGGAGCTGGTGGAGAAGGTGGCTGCCGCTGGAAAGACGCCTGGGAGGTGGCTGAGGGGTCCAGGCGGTGGGACGACTCCGGCCTTTTGAAGACTGGGGTGGGTGCTCTCTGTAAGTCCGGGACGGAGGCCACGCGGCCCTGGCGAGGGGGCCCTGGCCTGGCGGGGTCTGGCGCCCCTTGTGGGGCGCTCACCCGACCTGCCCTTGTGGGGCCTGGGGCGGCTCCAGGGAGACCTGAGTTGGGGGCAGAGGCCGCACCTGGGCTTTAATTCCCCTGCAGAGCCACGCACCTGGCACCTCTGCCCCAAACCCCTGCGACTCCAACCCGGCTGTCCAGATGCTCCGGCGAAGTTGGGCTCAGTCAGAAGAGGCTCGGTGGTCAGAGCCCTAGACAGGAATCAGAGCAGTAATTTTTCAGCTGGAGAAACTAAGTGCCACAGAGATCTCTTTCTTACTAGCGGTGTCATCTTGAATAAGTCACTTCACCTCTCAGAGCCTGAAACTCATTTATTCGTTCATTATTTATTTTATTTTATTTTATTTTATTTTATTTTATTTTATTTACCAGAAATGAATTTGAGGAGCTGATACATTTAGTGCCGAGAAAGAAATTAAGAAATAGAAATACCTTTACTACCCTGTACTCTTTGGGAATTTAGTTTCAAAGAGTTGAGTGCTCTTATTCTAATGTCGCCGAAAATGTGGGGATGTTTTTTTGTTCTGGGTCCAACTCTTTAGGGATAAAGTATCCATCCTTATTGTTTTCCTAGTTCAAACTCTTGTTTGTTTTAAGGAATAAATGAGAGAATATGTCAGAAGGCTTTCAAACTGTTCATTTCTTTGCATGTTAGGGTCGTTAGGGTTGCTTTTCTCTCGAATAATAACAATTGCTACCACTTTTTCAAGCTGTATGTGCCAGAATTGTGTTGAGCATTTTATATGTTATCTGTTCTCTACAACAACCCTAGAATTTAGGATTATTCTTTTTATTTTGCCCATGAGAAAATGTAGACTCTCAGGGATAAAGTGACTTGCCCAAGGTCACAGAACAAGTACATGGGGGAAATGGGATTCAATGCTAGGACAAGCTGACAGCAAGGCCCTTGCTTTTAACCACTAGGCTACCCTGCT